CCCGCCACTCGGGCAGGCCTGGGCCCGCCCCCGCCCGCCGGGCTCCTTGCTGCTTGCAGCCTCCCCGGGAAACTGGAAGTGCTGCGCGGGCGCTGATGTGGCACTCGGCTCGGTGGCTGGCGGACCGAGGGGGGCCCGGGGCGGAGAGGTGGCTCCTCCGCACCCAGGCCCATGCTATGCCCATCCTTTTAGGCAGTTAGGCCGGTTGAAACAGGATGGTTTCAATCTGTTCTTGGGATTAAATTAAGGCGCGCTCCGCGATCGCTTTAGTCCCCCGCATTGCCCAGGGGAAGGGACTGGGGTTCCGAGATGCCCACGCCCCAAAGGGCCTTCGGGCCAGGTCAGGGATTCATTCTCTCCACTCTCTCCAGGGAACAAATTATAAAATCCAAGAACCTGTCCCTTGAGGATAGTGTTCTTTTGTTGGCAGAAAAGCCCTGATGAGTCCTTCTTTGAAGTCCTTCTTAACCGGTAGGTGGTTTTTTTCCCTGCGGAGAGAAGGCCAGGGTGGGTTACAGGAGTGCTTTGGGTGCTTTGGTGTTTTTGTTGTTGGGTGGTGGAAAAAAGAAATGTTGCTTGGTTCTATGAGAAATTGGACAGGACTACCCCTAGCAATGCTTTGATTTGGGGGAAATCGTGGAAGGGTTGACTGGTTGGTTGATTAGTTGGTGGGGGATGAGGGCGGGGTGAGATTTGCAAATCAATTGCCATTATAACTCAGATGTTGCCAGAAATGTGACCTCATTGGAATATTAAGATGGCAAGAGCCACACTCACTGGGCCACACACATTGAAAGGTGCCAGGTTCTGTACTAAACAGCTTGACCCACATTATCATGTTTAATTTTTTAAAAATATATCTTTATTGATTTCAGAGAGAGGAAAGGAGAGGGGGAGAGAGAGATAGAAACATCAATGATGAGAGAGTCATTGATTGGCTGCCTCCTGCATGCCCCCGACTGGGGACTGAGCCCACAACCGGGGAATGTGCCCTGACCAGTAATTGAACCCCTATCGTCTGGATCCTAGGTCCACGCTCAACCACTGAGCCATTCCCGGCCAGGCTCATGTTTAATTCTTAACAACCACCTTGTGAGGTAGATATTATAATTACCTTCGTTTTCATATGAGGCTACCAAGACGCAGAGAAGCCTATCTCAGCATACCACCGAGGTATCCAACGTGTGTTTGCAGCACTGCACCATGGGTACTTAAACTTATATGCCATTTGCCAGGAGTGGGTGAGTTAGAATGTATTGTGAGTGCCTCTACCTTCTTATGTCCAAAGCTTTCACCACATAGATGATGTCCTCTTGGTTGGTATATTTGTTATCTATTGCTATCTATGTAATAGATTACCACAAACTTAGTAGCTTGAAACACCCCACATTTATTGCACTGTTTCTGAGGGTCAGAAGTCCAGGCATGGCTTAGCTGGACCCTCTGCTCAGGGTCTCACAAGGCTGCAATCAAAGTGTTGTCCAAGCTGCCTTCCTATCTGGAGGCTTGATTGGGGAAGAATCTTGCTAACAGGATTCATTTCTTTGCAGCTGTAGGACTGAGTCCCCAGTTTCTTTCTGGATGTCAGCTAGCAGCTACCCTTACCCCCTAGAGTTTACGCTTAGCCATGGCACTTCCTAAAAGCCAGGAGGTGAAGATCAGGGGGGGCTACCTTAGGGTATGTTTGCCACAGTGGGCTAGTCGGACACTTCAGTCTTGATCGCCCTGACTGCAATATTATCACATCTCCACAAGTTCTCCAAAAATTCAGGGCCCTGCTTGCCAAGTAAACTGGGAAACCATGAGTGGATTCCCAACCCTCAGTCCCTCTGGCAGCCAAGAAAACCACAAAGAAGAGTTGGCCGTTGAAATCAGTCAAAAGTTTGGCTTTCTGAAACATTTGTAATATGACAAGGGTGCACCTTTTATCACAAAAGCTACTCAACAGTGGGCTGGTAATCAAGGCAAATGATCAGCCTCCCATGCTCATTACCACTGACGGTCATCTGATATTCGATTGACCATTGGAACAGCTTCCTCCAAAATCTACTAAAAAAAGATTTCTGGGGATTTCTGCTTGCAAGAAGATAAGAGTTGACATAATTTTTCCTATTTCTCCTGTTAGTACAACTAAAAAGCCTGACTTTATATATATAAACAAACATAAGAGGATGGTGACACACCGGCTAGGAATCTAGGGACCCAAGGAATGACATGACTGTGAGTTCTCTGGGTTTTCTTTTTGTCTCATTGACCCAGAGTTGGAGCCCAACAAAAGCTTATTCTCTCTAGCCAAAGGGCCAGGAAAGGGGAGTCTAAAACAACAACAAAAAGTTTAGATAGTAAACACCAGCCAAACACCACAGAAAAAACTGTGGCTCTGCCCACATCCACACGAGCAAAGGCCAAGTGGGAAGTCTAGACTTCCACCCTCACAAGACTATAGCAAAGTGAAAACAAAGAGCTAGGTTTTGANGGCTATACTCCAGCCAAACACCACAGAAAAAACTGTGGCTCTGCCCACATCCACACGAGCAAAGGCCAAGTGGGAAGTCTAGACTTCCACCCTCACAAGACTATAGCAAAGTGAAAACAAAGAGCTAGGTTTTGAAAAAATCTGTATATTGGCAAACCACTAGCACAACTGACAAAGAAATAGAGATGACACAAATTACTAATGTCGAGAATGTAACAGACCTTGCAGACATCAAAAAGAAAATAAGAAAACAGCTCAGCACATGTAAACATGACTTATGTGAACCAATTCCTTGAAAAACACAAATCACCACAATTCACCCAACACATAAATCAACAATTTGATTTATGAAATCAATAATTTAATAAATTAAGAAAATTCATACTTTAAATACTTCCATACTTTTCGAAATATATAAAAAACTTATAAAACTCAACACCAAGAAGACAAGCAATCCAACTAAAAAATGGGCAAAGGATCTGAATATTTGGAGACACTTCTCCAAAGAGAACATACAGATGACCAATAGAAAAAAAATGCTCAACGTCACTAGTCATCAGAGAGATGCAAATTAAAACCACAATGAGATATCACCTCATGCCTGTCAGAATGGCTATCATCAATAAATCAACAAATAACAAATGCTGGCGAGTGTGTGGAAAAAAGGGAACCCTCATGCACTGCTGCTGGGAATGCAGACTGGTGCAGCCACTGTGGAAAACAGTATGGAGTTTCCTCAAAGAATTAAAAAATAGAACTACCTCTGACCCAGTAATCCCACTTCTGGGAATATATCCAAAGAACCCCAAAACACTAATTCAAAAGAATATATGCACCCCATGTTCATTGCAGCATTTTTTACAAAGCTAAGATCTGGAAACAGCCCAAGTGCCCATGAGTAGATGAGTGGATAAAAAGGCTGTGGGACATTCACACCATGGAGTACTACTCAGCAATAAAAAAGAAGACAATCTTACCTTTTGCAACAGCATGGAGTGACCTGGAGAGTATTAGGCTAAGTGAAATAAGCCAGTCAGAGAAAGACAAGTACCACATGATCTCACTTATATGTGGAATCTCATGAACAAAATATTTTAACTAACAAAATAGAAACAGAAGCATAGGTACACAGAACAGACTCACAGCTGTCAGCGGGAAGGGGGTTTGGGGGCTGGATGAAAAAAGGTAAAGGGGTTAAACAAACAAATATATATAT